AGGAAAACTAGTGACACAGACCTCGTCTTTGAGCAAAAGATCAAATCTAATCTTTGTGTAAATGAAGCAGGAAATCCAAATCTCATGTTACTGACTGACCTTAGTTGAACGCCCTAAACTGGTCTGCAATAACATTTCGCAATACTTGAGATAAGTACCGATTACTTATTCTTAGTGATTACTTGATTTCACGTGTCTCCACTTAAATTCCTCTCGAACCCTGCACAATAAATTCAGGCACACCTTTTTGGGCTGTCTTCCTCATTTCGGGGGATACATGAATTTAAGTTGTTGCTGTAGTTTTTAGAACGTTGAGCACCTCTCGAGGCCGGACTGATGTTCAGTAATTTTCATATTTAACGACGAGTTGTAAGTTCTTAACGTGTTGAAATTATCAATTTTATTTTAAGTGAAATGTTCATAAGTGTTTCCCACAGCAGATTAAATATTGTCTTTGTAACACAACAAGATGACACTGTTAGATGGTACTGTAGGAGGATTCCTAATGTTAGTATGAGCTCTGACCTCCATCATTGCATTGTGACATGACAACTGTTACATTTTGTCTACAATTTATTCTTCAGTGGAATATGGGTGCGATAGTCAAGACCAACATTTGGTGCCCACCCCTAACTGACTTTGACTTACAAGACTATTTTGATTGGCTCTTAATTGCCAATCACATTGCTCTGCTCTGGGTCTGGAGTCACGTGAAGCCAGACCAAGTACATTCCAGATTTTATTAGTTGAATTTGCATAACCATTCATCACAGGACCACTTTGTTATCCTGGGGCCTAATTTAGTGAACCTTCACAGTATTGCCTCCGATTTGTTTTGAAATGTGGAGGCTGGAGCTGACCTCAGTTTCCTAAATGCAGTTTGGTTACTTGGCCTGAGCCTGTGCTGATGTCAGTACCAAATAGTTGACTAAACATTTGGAATAGTTTTCTTTTTAGCTTTGAGATCAATCTGCTCAATCCTTTGTTGAAAATACTCTGAGGAAATGCTGGACCGAGATCGATGTGCTTCCTACAGCCTTTAGAATAGCTTTTGTTGTCATGTGCACTTGAATGAGTGCAGTGAAAAGATTGTAATTTAACCACTTTGGGGCCATCTTAGGTACAGGGTGCCTAGGTACAGAATACTTCTGTGTTTGTTACAGACTTGTATAGAGGATCATAAATAAAAGTTCAGCACTAGCACAAAGAGTAGAGAAGTTTTCTTTTTAAAAAGCCCTTGATTTGTAGTCTATAGACCAAGTCCTTGGGACCCCTCCCACCCCTGGACTCGCTGTCCCCACGCTGGCCTGGTCTGGGACTTGCCTGGACTCTCCACTCCCACGCCAGCCTGGCCTGGGCTTGCCACCCCCACGGACTTGCCTCCAGGCCGCTCCTGGGCTCTCCGCTCCCACGCCTGGGGGCCGTCTCCAGGACTAGCCACGACCTCCAGTCTTCTCTGTTCGTCTCGGATAAATTGAAGCTAAAAGTTTGAAAAAGAGGGGAAAGAAAAGGAAAAGAATGGGTGGAGCAGAGGGGCTCTGACTGGAGCACCTTACTCTGCCGCCATCTTGCTGGAAGTGAGTACTATAGTACTGTAATCCCCAACATTGTCAATAGTAGTAGATCAAGACCTCTTCCCTTAATCATCTGGATATCTGTTGTTGCCTGTATTTCTTCAAAATCCAGAAGCTCTGAAGACCATCCTTATCGTTTTTTAAAAGTTAATTGTCTTCCACCCTTTCTCCAGGATGTTAATATTCCCATGTTTGGGGACCAGACAGATATCATAGATTAATACAGCTTAGAAGAGACCATTTGGCCCATCAAGTCTATGCCAACCTGTCTGTACTAATTCCCCTTTCTAGCACTTACCCCTCCTTGCACGTGCACATCCATGTACTTTTTAAAGGTTATGAAGTTTCCCACCTCCAGTACCTTCCCTGGCAGAGCATTCCAGGTTTCCACCACCCATTAGAATCATAGAACCTCTACAATGCATAAGAGGCCATTTGGCCCATCAAGGCTCCAAGGACCCTCCAAAGAGCATCCTCCCCCTATCCCTGTAACTCCACATTTAGCATGGCTAATCCACTTAGCTTGTCTGTGGGAGGAGACCAGAGCACCTGGAGGAAACCACACAGACACTGGGCAAACATGTAAACTTCACACTGACAGTGGCCCGAGGCTGGAATTGAACCCGGGTCCCTGGTGCCATGAGGCAGCAGTGCTAACCACTGAGCTACTATGCCACCCTCTAAGTAATAAAATATTTCCTCAAGTCCCCTCTAAACCACCTGCCCTTCACCTTAACATTTATGCCTGTTCATTACTGACTGAGGTGAAGTGAGCAATTTGGACGGCAAATGGTATGGTGGTCCTTCACTCAAGAACATTTTGAGTACAGCAGTAAAGGTGTCTTTCTGTAATTGTGTAGAGTTTTGGCGAGACCACACTTGGAGTATTGTGTACAGCTCTGGTTTGCCTAAGAATGGATATACTTGCCATGGAGGGAATGCAGTGAAGGTTGACCAGACTGATTCCTGGAATGGTGAGATTGTCCTGTGAGGAAAGATCGAGGGGACTGGGCCTGTATTCTCTCGAGTTTAAAGGAATGAGCGGGGAGCTCCTTCAAGCAAACTAAACTTTTAACCAGGCTCGGCACGGAAGATGCAAGAATGCGGCCTTCCTTGGATCAGGTGGGATCTGGAACTAGGGCCCAGGGGAGTTTGTAGCTGTGCTCCTAGGCCTGGCCAAAGTGACCATCAACGGGTCCAGGCAGTGAGCTATAATGGGGGATTGCTACCCATCTTCTGCCTTTACAGTCACGCCTGGGTGTTCTTGGCGAGGGCGCATGTGGCATTCACTAACATTCTTCATGCCTTAAGAGAGGTGGGCACTACAGGACTGGAGTGCCTTATTTTCGCCCTCCAATTCCACTTTGATTTTTGTCCCCTCCCCCTCTCCCTACCTTTACCCCCTTGCCTTTGTTGTTATTGCACTGTCCCTGATGGGCTTTGCATGTAAACTGGTAACTTAATTAGAGAGACAGTTGATTTGGAAGTGAAGGAAGATCAAATTTTTAAAAAAGTAGCAGTGATTTTTGTGATGGAAAAGAAATTTAGTGTATGCTAAAAGCATCTCTGCATATAAAAGAAGGGACTGTTTTTAGCGATGGTAATGTAACGGTGAGTATGGATGCCTTCAAAGCAGTTGATCTGGGTTCAATTCCCAGCTGTCGCAGTTCACTTACTTGCAAATCTTTACTATCCAAAGCATTGCACTTGTGCGGAATTTGATCCACAGGTGGCCACATTTAATCAGGAATAAAAAGAAACAGGTAAACCGTATCTTCCATTCAGATTGGGACTCCTGTTTGCTTCCTATAGGTTGAGAGCAGGTTTCATTCTGGGGTCTGTTTGCAAGTCAATTTGTACGTGGTTCGGAACATAATGCAGGGCAATACAAAATAGCTGTTTGTAAGTATGAGAAGACATTTGTAGAAGAGCCATAGAGATCTACAGCACTGAAAAAAGGACTTCCAGCCCATCGAGCCTACGCCAGTCAAAAACCAGCACCAAACTATTCTAACCCTGTTTTCCCAGCAATTGGCCCATAGCCTTGGCATCGCAAGTGCACATTTAAATACTTCTTCAATGTGATTTAAAGGTTTCTGCTTCTTCCACCCTTTTACAGCCAGTGAGTTCCAGATTCCTACTACCGTCTAGGTGAAAAACAAAATCCTCCCATCCCCTCTAAACCTCCTGCCCCTTTCCTGCTTATTGATTGCTCCATCCAGGGGTAATGCTTCTTCTTGTCTACTCTATCTATGCCCCTCATAATCTTATGCATCTCAATCTCCTCTGCTCCGAGGAAAACAACCCCCATCTGTCCAATCTCCGTTCATAACTGAAACTCTGCCTGGGCTAGAGAATGTTCTGATAAATTTCCTCTGCACCCTCTCCAGTGCAATCACATCCTTCCTTCCTATCATGTGGATCCCAAAACTGCAAACAATTCTCTACCTGTGGCCAAACCATCTCAATCATGTCATGTCATCGAATCATAGAATCCCTACAGTGCCAAAGAGTACATTCGGCCCATTGCGTCAGCGTCAAAGCTCCAAAGCACATCTCACTCAGATCCACCGCCCCACCCCTGTAATCCTGCATTTTTCATGGCTGATCCCCTAGTCTGCACATCTCTGGGGCAATGTAGCATGGTCAATCCACTCTAACCTGTGCATCTTTTGGACTGTGGGAGAAAACCGGAGCACCCAGAGGAAACCCACACAGACACAGGGAAAAGGTTCAAACTCCACGCAAACAATCAGCCAAGGCTGGAATCAAACCTGGGCCCCTGGCGCTGTGAGGCAGCAGTGCTAACCACAAGTTGGATATTTAAAATTACGTTCCTATATGGGGTCATGTCTTCAAGAATGAGTGTTCATGAGTCGAACATTTGTGAATTGTGGACACTGTGAATAGGTGAGTTGTTGTACCTCTGAGCTAGGAGGCCTGAGTTCAAGTCCCACCTGCCCCAGAGGTGTGCCCTTATGTCCCAGAATAGGGTGATTCAAAAATGAGGCAGCAATTCCAAGGTCTCAAAGTAAGTGGAGGTGCTGGGTTTTAGGAGGGACTGTTGTGGTGTCTCCACCTCTGAGCTAACAGGCCTGGGTTCAAGTCCCACCTGCTCCAGAGGTGTGCCATAACATCTCTGAATGGGTTGAATACTACCTGCTGATAGGCACCCACTGATGACTCCACTCCTCCTGCGTCTTGGCTCTTGCCTCAGTCCTATTCCGTGTTGGTTGGAGGAAGCATTGAAGGTGGCAAGGGCACAGAATACACCAGGAAGGGGACTTTAGTGACTGTCACCATGAGGCACTTGGGAGCACCACTGCTGACGGAGCTGGCCGGGTCCTAAATGCCGTAGCTAGTGGACTGGTATTTCTTGCTAATCATCCTGACGAGTGCAAGACAAAGCGTGTTTTTTTTTTCCAGCAATACTCACCGGTAACATTGGTTGTCAACCAATGTCCAGAGTTCAAGGAAAGAGGGAGTTGCATGTAGGCGATGGAAGGGTCGAAATTTGAAGCAAAGTTGTGGCTACACCATCTGGAAATTTCAAAGCTAAGTTTGCTCGTTATTTGGAGTTGGTGTAAAGGAAAATGGAAAGAAGGAAAATGGAGCTGAGATACAGATCGGTTATGATCCAGTTGAGAGGCTGCACCTTCTCGCAGGACTGAATGTTTTCTTTATTCCTTTGTTCCACTATTTTATTATTCAAGTAATAAAACCCAGAACTCTTATTTGTTGTTCCTATCGTCTTGTTGAATTTGTTTGTGGTCCTTTCATCATTTAGTAACCATACCTACCAGAGGCCTCTCTTAAATCGTAGCCGCATTCCTGATTGGTCTAAGCAAACCTGCAAACTCAGTGCATTCATCATAGTTAAGGATTGTTGTTGGCTATGAGCACAATCCCCCAACTTATCAATTCCCAAACATTTGTGTGCAGTTCTGCCCTGTGTAATGAGGGGGGAGTGGCATGTGACTGTGACTGGGTGAGATATTAAAGGGTGCAGGCAGTGACGGGGCCAATAGGATCAGAATGCGTAGAATATCTAAGGGTGAGAGGAGAGTTGAATTGGACTAAGTGGGATGTTAAAGGGTATGGGGAGTGAGGGGGAGAATGGCATTAGATTGGGTGGGATGTTAAAGGATGTTGGATGACTAAGAATGGGATTAGTCTGAGCGGGATATTAAGGGCGTGGGGAGGGGGAGGGGGAGAGGGAGAGGGAGAGGGGAAGATCCGACCGGGTAGGATATTAAAGGGTTTGGGGAGGAGTGGGAAAGTCCGACAGGACTGGGTGGAACACTAAAGAGTACAAAGTTTGAGAGGGAGAGTGGGAATAAACTGGGTGGGATTTTAAAGGTTACAGGGTTGGGCAAGAGAGGAATTGGAGTTGATAAGACCGTAAAAGGTATGAGGTATGAATAGAAGAGTGTGATAAAACTAGGTAGGAGACTTCATTGTATGGAGGGATGAACAAGAGAGAGAATATAAAGAATATTAAGGCCATTTAGCACGTAACAGCATAAATGCACTCCTCTTTCTCAGAAATCAGGAATTCCATTGTAGCGCCCCAATCTCCTTACACTGGTACACAAGGGATTGGTGCTCATGGTGGTAGGGTTTTAATATTGGATCATGCATGCATTGACTTAGTAAATCACATAGTTGTCCATAAGAATGGAAGAAATAGAAGCAGGAGTAGTCTGTTGACCCATTTGAGTTTGCTGTGCGAGTCAATAAAACCATGATTAGATTATGGCTTTTACTTCACTCACCGAGTCCCTAAAAACATCCCTGGTGCTCTTATCAATAGAAAATCTATCTAACTCAGCCTTGATTATAATCAATGATCCAACCTCTGCTGCTCTCTCAAGGGCAATCTCTCCTCATTTCTCTTATCAGAGAGGTGCCTTGTTTTGAGACTTCGTCCCCTAGTTCTAGGGCGACAGTCTCCCAGTTCCTAAGCTCCTGCAGGGTCTTGCATGTTTCAATACGATTGCTTCTCGTCCTCCTAAACTTCAATGAGTACAGGTCCACCTGCTCAATGTTTCTAGACAAGGCCACCTGTTCATCCAGGTGACAGCCCAGTGAGCCCTATTTGAACTGCCCGCAGTGCAAGTATGTATTTTCTACAGAAAGGTGATCAAAACTGTGCAATTACCCCACAACCATAAGAACCAGGTGCAGGAGTAGGCCATTCAGTGCCTTGAGTCTGCTATACCATTTAATATGATCACAGCTGATCTCGACTCAGCCTCAAATTCACTTACTTGCCTGTGCCCATAACCATTCAACCCATTACTAATTAAAAATCTGTCTTCTCCTTAAATTTATTCAGTAAGACAGTGTCCACCATACTCTGACGGAGTGAATTCCATAGATTCACACACCCTCCCTTTGAGAGAAGTCATTCCTCTGCATCTCTTTTAAATCTGCTACCCATCATCCTAAGACTGTGACCTCTCATTCTAGATTGCCCCACACAAGGAAGCATCATCTCTACATCTACTTTGTCAATCCCCTTTCGGCATCCTCTTAACTCTATTTCTTATTTTCTAACTCCTACTATGAATCACTGTAAAGCAATTAACTTTTTTTCCTTTATTCCTCTATTTTGTATCTAGTACTTCTTATGACTTGAGTATACGTGACAATAACCCTAATTCTAATGCTAAAAAACAAAAATCTTATGGACCTCAATTAGATCTCCCCTCATTCTTCTAAAGTGTATAGACCTAATCTGCTCAGTCTCTCCTCCTAAGACAAATTATGTCCCATCTTTAATGCATATAGCTTCACTGAGAAATTAACTTTGGAGCCTCATTGCATGCTGTGAACATTGGTCAGATATTCTTGTGAAACTGGAGCTGACATCAATCACGAGTTCCATCGGTGAGCAGCCGTGTGTGTTTAAAACATTGTTTTGGCCGATGAAGCCAGTGATTTTTGAGACCCATTGATTGCCCCTTTTTGTCCAAATCGTGGCCTCATCAGCCAATCAAGGAAAGGAATGTGCTCTTGGCAAGACCACAGGTCAGGGGAGTGACCTAATGGTGAATGGGAGCAGGAATCTGGGTTTGGGTTAGAGTTAAGCTCACAGTAAGCTGGCTGCCTTTTCGAAAACATTGAAATATGAAAACTCTGACGTCTTTATTTACAATTGAAATCACCTTGCTCTGTGCATCAACAAAGGTACGTCCATCAGCACGTTTTGCCACGACTGGCAAACACAAGATATTGAACCTCTTGAAGTTGAGATATCTGAACTGAGAAGGGAGTGATTCACTGTTTGCCTCTGATAAGGCCAAGGTTTTTTTGCTCCACGTTTATTTGATTTATTTGTGAACAGGCGTGCTCACTCAGCTCACGTAGTGTGTTCCATGGTAGAGAATGGGAGGGGCCTGCAGTTCAGAGGCTGCATTTGGGGGTGGACTTTCTCTGTGTGTGTATGTGTATATATATATATATATATATACACACACAGATATGTGTGTTAGTTAAGGACACTGGTTGCTTGAGGATTCTTGCTGTCTCTGCTGAATTTGAACTCCTTCAGATAATACAGGTCAGGAGAAGACGAAGCTAGTAAATTGCATCGTGTCACAGACGAACTGGGTGGTAAGATTGACTATGAAGAAGCTTCAGGAATTGCTGTGTAATTTTAATGAATGGGTTAGGCCCCTGCTGGGATATTGTATCCCGTTCCTGGCACTTAGAGCCATAAAGCATGGAAACCGACCCTTCGGTCCAACTAGTCCATGCGGACCACTTTCCCTAACTAAACTAGTCCCATTTGCCTGCATTTTGCCTATATCCCTGTAAATCTTTACTATTTACGTACCTATCTAAATGTCTTTTAAGTGTTGTAACTGTACCTGCATCCACCACTTCCTCTGGCGGTTCATTCCAGATACGAACCACTATCTGTGTGAAGAAGTTGCCCCTCATGTCCCTTTTAAATCTGTCTCCTCTCACCTTAAAAATATGCCCCCTAGCCTTGAAGTCCCCCCACCCTAGGGACCTTGACTATTCACCTTATCTATGCCCCTCATGATGTTATAAACCTTTTATAGGGTCACCCCTCAACCTCCAACGCTCCAGCGAACCAAGTCCCGGCCTATCCAGCCTCACCTTATAACTTGAGCCTTCCGTTCCTGGCAACAACGTGCTAAATCTCTTCTGAACCTTCTCCAAATTAATAATACCCAGCCTATAGCAGGGCGACCAGAATTGTATGCATTGTGGCCTTGTCCAGGCTGCAGATGGAGAAGTACCAAAGTGAGACCAAGGGAGAAGGCTCCTCAATTAACACCCAGCAGGGTCTGGAGAGGCTGAGATGGTTTTGTTTGCAACAGAGAAGGTTAAAAGAAGATTCACTGGAAACATTCAAAATCATCGGGGTGTGGGGAATCATGAGATAGATGGAGTGAAACTGTTTCCAGTTGCAACAGTGTCGACATTGATTAAGATTGTGTACAAAAATATGACCAGGGAGGCTTATTTTTTTTTTAAACACAGTATATTGTCTAGGTATGCAGGTAAAGGTCCCAGAGCACTCTGGAGCTGCTCTCTCACTAGAGAGGGACAAGTGGTTGTAGTTTAACCTGAGGTTTACCGTGCCTCAGATGAGGGGAGATGTCAAGAAGAGCAGTCCTTCATGGTGTCCTCAGCCAGTGCAGGAGCTGAACCCATGTTGTTGGCGTCACTGCATTGCAAACCAGTCAGTCCAGCCAACTAAGCTAACTGCACCCTGTGGTTCCAGATAGATATGGACCACTGGAATAGATGATAGACGGAAATGTTAATAATTAGCTTTTCAAAGCGAATTAGAAAACAACTTAAATGTTTGCGGGACTATAAGGAAAGAGTAGGGGAGTGGGACTAATTGGATAGAACAGGCACAATGGGCTGAATGGTTATCATTTGCGCTGATATAATTCTTTCACTCTCATTTTTAAAAACTGCAGTTTTTCATTGCAAAACTACTTTCCAATTTGGGTACATCTTCCTGCTTGCTGTATTGGAGAAATCTGTTTCCAAAGAGAAGTATTCTAGTTCTACTTCGTTGATTACAGAACAGCATTTGAGGCCATGTTCTTCAAGGCTGGTTCTAAGACAGGAACTTGCATGAGGATTCTGTCTTGTGTGTATTGTCACCCTCAAATTTGTTCCCGTATCTCCTGGACCTCTTGTGTTTGAACCTCGTTTATTTTTCCACTCAAGTTTCTGAGAAGATTTGAAACTCGGGTTGTGGATGAGCTTGTAGACATGCTCGCCGAGCCGGTGTGTTTGATTGCAGACGTTTCGTCACCCTGCTAGGTAACATCATCAGTGTGTCTCTGTTGGCGTTCTGTCCCACTTGTTATTTATACGCTTCGGTTTGCTGGCAGCATTTCCAGTTTTGTTTTTCAGTGGTCTGTATATCCGGTCCAGTTCAATGTGTTTGTTGAAGGAGTTCCGGTTGGAATGCCAGGCCTCCAAGAATTCCCTGCCATGTTTCTGTTTGGCTTGTGCTATTATAGATGTGTTGTCCCAGTCGAATTTGAGTCCATCATTGTCAGTGTGTACTGAGACCGGTGAGAACTGGTCGTGTGAGTTGGTGGCTAGTTGGCGGTCATGTATCTTTATTGTCAGTTTTCTTCCAGTTTAGTCTATGTAATGTTTCTCACAGTCCTTGCATGATGTTTTGTATATTACGTTGGTTTTATTGGTTGTGTGTTTGGGATCCTTTATGTAGATGTCGTGGTCTACCCTGATACCTAGGTGTCTGAGTAGTTTTGTGGTCCTCTCTGATGTACGGTAGGGTGACTAGTGTGTCTAACCGTCTTGTTGTGGTCTGTCGTGGAGGTAATGGCGGATTTTGTTTTTTTTCGGTATCCATTCCTTTTAAAAACTTTGTACAAGTGCTCCTGTTCTGCTTTGCACAGTTCTGGGTTGCTGCAATGTGTAGTGGCTCATTTGAATGATGTCCTGATGCAGTCCCATTTATGGTGTTGGGATGGTTGCTGGTGTAATTAAGTATCTGGTCCATATGGGTGGTCTTTCTTGTATATGTTGGTCTGGAGTTCCCCATTTGTTGTTGCTTTCCACCATTACATCTAGGAAGGTTAGTCAGTTATTGTTCTATTCTTCTTTTGTGTTGTGTTGTGTTGTCTGTGGGTTCCTTCTAGTCTTGTGTGTTTGATAATCACAAAGGTGTCATCTACATAGTGGACCCAGAGTTTGGGTTGGATAGTGGGGAGCACTGTGTATGTCCTCAGTCGTAATTGTCATCCTGGGGACCATGGGCACAATGTTCTTCTTCCACCTTCTCAAATTGTCTGTTGCTTTTAGACATCTTGAGCCATCCAAAAAGGCACTGCAGCAGGGAGGGAGTGAAGAACATGGGAGGGCAGGTTTGAGGGAGGGAAGGAGAGGCAGGAAGAGCTGAGACAGTATGCAAACTGTTATTTCAACAAGAGGCTAATTCTGTCACCTCTCTGACGCCGAGGGCAATTGGACAAGGAAGGGCTACTCGGTGCATCACAATCAAAAAAAAATGTAGCACATAGTTGGTGGAGGCCAAGTCACTGTGTATAAGAAAGAAGTAGGAAGTATACTCATTTTAGATATGAAAGGGGAATGGGGACAGAGCTTGAGTATGGTGTTGAGAGAGAGGATCAGCATGATCAAGGGTGGCATGGTGGCTCAGTGGTTAGCACTTCTGTCTCACGGCACCAGGGTCCTGTGTTCAATTCCAGCCTTGGTCGACTGACTGTGTGAAGTTTGCACCTTTCCCCCCCCCCCTTGTCTATGTGAGTTTCCTCCTACAATCCAAAGATGTGCAGGTTAAGGTGGGTTGGCCATGCTAAATTGCTCCGTTGTGCTCAGGGATGTGCAGGCTAGGTGGATTAGCCATGGGAAATGCAGGGTTAACAGAATGGGATGAGTCTGGGTGGGATGCTGTTCTGAGGGTCAGTGTGGACTCTGGGTTGAATGGCCTACTTTG